TACTCATTTATGTTCATATGGTACACATTTACATTTTTACTTTTCTCTTTCATCTTTTTAAATAGAACCTAAGACTTCTTGAATAAGAGTTTTGACATATGAAGGACAAACATCAATCATTGTGATGAATATTTGTGAATTAGTGCATTATTGTAGCTACAGAATGCAGCTGTTGTTTCATTTACACGATCTTTGATGATCGATTAGATATTTTAAACTCACTGTAACCTTTCTTTATGAAATGTAGAATAATGACAAGAGTTATGCAAGTTAATTGTTTTCACAGAGGAAATGTTACAAATATGTCGAAAAATTTCATTATTTTGAATTGTTCTTCACTAAACTTCGAAAGAATATTTGGGAACAAATAATCTTTATTTTAAATGCAATATGTATTACTATGTTTTGATCCACTTTTGGTGAATATCCAAACTTTTTTAATCCATGATGTCAAGATGGTCCATTGTAAAACTTATTCTCATGACATTTATCATTAATACTAAAAACACCTTCTGTCAATCTTATAAATTCGTAATACAAATGAATTCTATCATAAAAAAAAACACGATTCGTTCGATATCTCATATTTTCCATAAGCTTTATGTATTCATCAGCGATTTTGTTTTTCGAAAAGAGTCATAGTCAAAAATAGACTAAACTTTTATGAATCAAAGTGAACTAAACAAAACTAAGTAGACTATCGAATGAAAGAAAACCATAATTGAATGGTATTGAGTTTTATTATTTAATTTACAAAATTATTTGCTTAATTATAAAAACTCGACAACAGATTCTCATTCTTTCAATTACAAAGTAGAAAGTCAAACATATGGGTATCATATTGATATCAGTATTAAAAGTAACTGTAATATATAGATATTATTTGGCATTAGAATTAATTAATAATAAGGTGTTAACACTAAATTCGCATTATTTTTAAGTCGAATCGATATCTGTTACCTGAATACAACTGTCTAATCACTTTTAAATCTAGGTTATGTGCATTATGTAGATCTAAATGAGCTTTGATTATGATGAAAAGAGTTCATGCTCTTAGTTTATGGCTGCGACGATACTGCACTTTTACATTATCTTTTTAAATAAATGACGAAGTCCCTTCAGGAATACTACACAAACTGATTTTCGAATTTTGAATTTACGCTTTGCATAGAGACAGGACTTAACGAGAATAGTTTACTATGAAAGTTTCTCGTCTTGTGATTTTCTTTCATCCTGAAATAAGAACATCAAATTTACTCTCGTTTATATGAGTGATGCAAAAGACAAGCTAGTACTCTAGTTGTACCTTAGGATAGGAACAGCGACAAGATCTTAAATATTCATAAAAAAACCTATTGTCGTGAGGACCTACCTCTATTCAACATCTAAAGTCAAAGCTCGACAATCAGTTTTTCTGAGGTTCTTGAAGGGAATCACAGCATTTATTTTAAAACAATATTATGAAAGTGTACGGTCTCCATAGCAATAAGCGAAGGACACGAACTCTTTTCAGATTACTCATAGCTCATTCGCATGTACATAGTGTACATAGTCTAGACGCAAAAATGATCGGACATTTGTAGGACTTCCTCTATGAGACTCGTTCTTTTTTTCAAAACAGAACAAAAGTGTTTTGTTGCTAAGGAGCTTTTAAGCTTGAATTGTCAAAGGTCTAGTCACAGATAACAGATATATTTCAATTAAAAATATTGCTAACATCTTATCATTAATTAATTATAATGGCAAAAAAATACCAATGCATTAGAATTATTTTTTATATTAATGTCTCAGCATTAGATTTAGTATTCATTAATGCTAATACTAATTTTAATATGACATTCGTGGTCATGAAAATAAGTCCAATGTGTACATTGACCATAAAAAGCTCCAAATATGTTGATATTATTTAGGTTCGGATAGTGACCGTCAATAACGTCTATATATTCATATACATGCCATTATTTCTGTTTGCAGACAAGTCACTTTAATGTTTATTAGTACGAAATTAATTATATCAGTTAATCAAAACTGATTTTAGTTAATTATATAAACTAAACATATATCACCTATGAGAGTTTCTCTGTGTATCTGTTTCAAACATACTATTATTTTTTGCTTTCAATCACATATTAGTAGTATAAAATGTCAATATCTATACTTAGAAGTGTAAATCATTTCATGACCATACCAACGTCTGATTATTTTTGTCAATAAGTTCTCTACCATCATTTTCTTTCTTTTTCACTCCAAAATTTCTCGCAATTAGGAAAATATTTAATAATTTATCGAAAAAGTTTTTAGCCGCTGCCGCTCATCAATTTATTGGCTTGCATATCTATCTGTATTTTATGATTAATAAAAAGGTCTATAATGAGTAGGTAACTTTACTATTCAGATAAAATAATTGACTGATAGAAATAGTTCTTTGACATGATAATAAGTACCATGAGGACCGTAATCTAATGGTTCTTTTGTCATGATTAATCGGAAATCAATGTACCGATATTTGATATGTAAATTACGTCTGCATTCAAAATTGAACATTGCTTTAAAATAATCTTGAATGTTGGTTGTGCATAATAAAAATTTGTAGAAATAAACCATACATGAAGTAATCATAGTTTTCGATTGGTTTTATTCAGCACAATGAAAAAGTCAAGAATAAAGTATCATGAGCCCAGAGAGAAACCATGTTAAAATGTAAAACTTTTTTTGTTTTCAGCGAAAGTAGCCAATTTTCTTGGAAATGGAAATGAAATAGTTTCTTTTTTAAACAATCATAATTTTTCTTAAAAATTCGAAACAAAAAATATTTTCTATTTCAGAGAAAATCGACGATTACCTCTAAAACCTAAAGAGAAAGTTTTCATACATTTGATCTATAAGGAACACCAAAACATTCACTATATATTGGCCAACAAAAACTTTCAAAGAGGAAAGATTAAAAGCAAGAGAAAAGTAGGGAGGGTAAAATCATTTCATTTTGCCTCCTTAGCCGTATGCCTGGGAAATAATGATATCTCTTATTTTAAAATAGTAAGCAAGTCATTTCTATTTCATTATTATTTCTCTATTTTTTTTTCTTGTATTCACAGACGATATAATTTATCATTATACATTTGAATAAAATATAAAATCATAAAGAAATTTCATATTCATTTTAATGTATTCCATTTGATTATTATTACTACATGAATTTTTAGTATTTTTCTTCAATAAATATTAAACCGAAATTTTTGTTAAATCAAAATTATTTTATACTTTGCGAAGTTTTTTCAACTGGAAAACAAACAGCATCGCCTAATACACCAATAAATTTTTCAATTGTCAGCATTCTTCACGTCTTTTCTTTTTGTCAACGATCGATCATGGAAAATGATGTGAAGTAAAGGTAATTTGTTTTGTAACAGAATCAAATAAACAAATTCTTTTTTTTCGTATGTTAGTGAAATGAACAACGGAAGACTTTTCTGCTGAAGACAAAGAAAAGATGAGAAGAGTATGAGTGAGCGAAGGCGTAAGTTTGTTTTGCTACCATGGCTTTTTGTTATGATCGACTGTGTATAAACAAGATGTTGCTTTGTATGTATCCATAAGTAGTATTGTTAAATCAGCAAAAATAATCTTTCTTTTAATTTAAAGAAAATAGTCATGTACATAAGGTAGATTTAGTGTGAGTACATTTAAATCTGCATGCTAAAATAAATACAGAGCAGAGAAACGATCTTAAGTTTAATCAAAAGAACCCAACATTGTTTTGTACTTGGGTAATTTTTTTCGTATACTACAAAAAAAAACCTAAGTTGAAAATCATTCCCAAATTCGTTCAGTGTCCAATATTGATAGAGAATAATAAAGTTGCCGCAATGCAAACATAAACAATGAAAACAAAATCAAGTAGAAATAGATTGCATTGTTCTTTTTTTGTAAATTTTACTTGATTCTAATAAAATATAAAAGAAAAAGGTCATTTCTTTCATAAATTAAAAGGACTGATGAACATTATCTTCGAATAATCTATATTCGTTCTTTTACAATTAAAAAAATATTCACTGGAATGATTATGCAATACAATAAGTATGTTTTTTTGTTAGCATGTAAATTATCTTAAAATACAATTTTCTCAAAAATTATTAACACCTTGATCAACAGATGAGAATTAAATGTACACTTCTTCATTATGAAATATGCTACCAAACACTCGAACATTAAGAACACAAAAAATTATTTTAGAATAACATTAAAAGAGTAATACAAAAAAAAAATTCTTCATGGCATTGAGCAATGTGTTTATAACGTCGATGTTCAATATTTGTTATGAGAATAAAAAGATATGCATTATATTGATATGCGTATTTGAAAGGTTTTATTCAAAATCAGACTCAAACAAATAATATTATCAACATACAGGTACGCTTTTTTTCAATTTTCTTATACTAATTTATTTCTTTTCGACTTTATTCTTTTTTTTCTTCGTTTTTCTCATGCATGCGTATTACTTTTAACAAATAAGAGATGATTGTGATTGAAACATAGGAGCCGTCGTCATCGACATCATTGAAACTTTGATTTTTTTATTTTCTCTCTTTCCTATCTTCGCTCTTCTTTTTCAAGCTAGTTGAAGGTTATCTCATCATATACACACTCCAATGATTGCGAGTTTTTCTTTTTTTTTTTTTCATAAAGACTGTTGCTGTCAATCAATTAAACACAACTATTGTTAAATGGAAAGAAAATGAAGTGAGAGAGGTTGAGCAACATGAAACAATTTAAGTTCTACTATAAAAAATATGGTTAGATTTTTTATTTTTATCCATTAATTGTTTCAGATCTCTTGATTTGGTGATCATTTGTTATGTAAAATAAGCAAAATATTTTCGGAGACTTTAGATAATCATGATCATCAAATGGTTATTAGTTATTGTAGTGAGCTCAATATTATGGACTGTAAGTATGGAATTGCGAATTTCTTTTTTTATTTGAACAAATATTCTTTTTAGATGTGTCTATCCGAGAATGAATGTACTAGTAGAATATTTAATACATCAGAGATCATTTTTACATGTTTATCCGATATTGTAATCAATGAACTTCCATTGTACAACTATACTACTGATAAATTGGCTAATATAACATCAATAATAGTAAATGGTGTTGACGACAATACTCGAGGTCCGTTTACATCAATTCCTCCAAATATTTGTTTATTACCTAATTTAAAGGTTAGTTAAACAAATTTCGTTTCCTCAGTATATTGACTTAAATGTGTTTTAGAATATCGATTTTTCATATAATCGCATTGGTCAAGTCGATCCAGCAAACGTATTGAGTGATTGTTTATCTAGTGTGACTACATTCGATGTTAGTGATAATAATATATCTGAATTTCCATCTGCTATGATTTATAATATGCCAACATTACAGAAGCTTTATTTTCGATTTAATCAACTTACTTATGTACCTGGCAATGTTTTTTTTAATTTATCAAATCTAGACATAATTGATTTTTCACATAATTCTTTGACAAATTTTGAATTATGGGCTTTGTTAGTGAATAAAAGCGCAGACTTTAGCAACAATCAAATTTCTACTATAACGAATACTGCTTTTTATAATATATCTGAATATACATTGTCAGATGCAACAATTAATCTCACTAATAATAGCGCAACGATAAATTTAACTGATGCCGTATATGAAATGTATGGTTCATGTAGTGAAGTTTATTATTGGCTCAATTCATCCACGCCAGACCCACTAATAACTAAACCAATATTGTCTTCAGCTCTGTCGTATATTGATTTTGGAACAACTAGAATTAACTGTAGTTGTGATCAATCTTATATTGTGGCAATGATTTCTACGATTTTTGCTGATAGTAATCCAGCAGCAACTTCAAGAATACCAATATACAGCGCAAAATGTCTCGATGGTACATTATTTATTGACAATACTTGTACTTTTGATATTGATCTACCTAATTCATCTGTCGATTTTTCAAAAGTTTATCCAAGACAATGCAAAATTTATGAATATGAATCTGGTAATCTGACTACTATTTCGAATATCAGTGTTCCTACCATAAATGTGGTAAGATATGAGTTTATGAAATTTTAGAAATCGTTTGTTTTTCTACTTGTCAGTAGATTTTATCAGTTGTACGATTTTGTTTTAAATTGGAAATGACAGTAAATGAGAAATTAAACTCAATGGACAAAAACAATAATTTTGCTTGAAAAAAAAACCTATGTAAAATATTTGTACTGAGTATAATAATCTAGAAAGAAAAAATAGTATGAGCTCCATATTACATGTAGTATGAATTTTATTAAATCTTTTATAGAAATAAGTAGGGATTGCAGAGCAAGCTTTTCTCATCTCTGTACGGCGATTGAGAAAAGTTTTCTAACTCTCACCTAGTCCTAGACTACATAAAATCTACCGTTAGCTTACGCTGCAAAGCATTTTTTTAAACTATTCTGTAATCGTACTGTAGTTCAAAGACTCTAACAGGAATAAGTAGCAAAATAATATCACGTTAGAGACATGAAAGGGAAGTTTTTTTCGTACCCTGCACCATAACCGAGAAAACTTTTTTAGGCCGAACCCTATCCTATCTATATTATACTTACCTTTATCTTGACTGAGAGAAATTTTTTAACCACTCTTCTATCCTATTCTACAGGGTAGATTAATTCTGCATATCTCTAGACACAAGTTTCCATTTTCATCGTTGTGTATTATTCATTTGAATTTATCGATAAGATAATAATAATATTGTATATTTTTTCCTTTAGTCAACTTATCCACATTATGAAACCAAAATGATGGAACCAGGTGCATGTTTCTTTAATTTTTCGAATATGACTACAGTAAGAATTAAATGTACAAAAGACATATCAGATTCATCGACTATTCCTTCCGAATTACTTTCAAGTGATTATTTTTCTAATATTAGACGTGTTGATTTTGCTCGTTCTATCTCATCTTTACCATCATATATTTGTTCATTACCGTCACATGATATTGATTTGAGTTTTCAATCATTCACCATACTTAATGATGAAACATTTCCATGTCTTGATTGGTTTCGTTCAGTTAGCTTAGCTAATAATCAAATGACATCCGTAAATATGAGAAGTGGTAATTTTACTAATTTAACTTTACTTGACCTATCATCAAATCAACTTACAGGAATTCCTTATTCAATTCTTATACCTACGCCAAGTTCTTTGCGTTTTCTTGATTTAAGAAATAATTCAATTACTTCAATTGATCTTTTTCTTTACACACTTAAAAATATTACAATCGATCTTAGGGATAATCCAATCAATATTTCAAGTATTATTAATCCACTAAATGTAACATTACTATTAGCGAATAACACAAATTCAACAACCATTATAACTTTTCCATCATCTGTAACGAATAGTACATATATTTTCAATGATCAAACAGCTTTAACTGCTGGTACATGTAATCGTTATGCTATTCTAGCATATCGAAATACTCTTCAATCGGTCTACAATAATATTTTACTAGATTGTACATGTGCATCTATAAATTTGAAAGAAATTTTTTTACGAAATCAATCTGATATTACTCAAGATTTTACTTGTTCAAATGGAACATCAACAGTTAGTTTTAATGCTTTAACAATTTTATCTTGTGGATCGGCGACTTTGAATTTTTCGTCAGGATTATGTTTGAATGAATCATTACAGGTATGTTCAATATTCTTAAAGAAACCTAAACTAAAAAATATTAAGTTAAAGGAAGAAAGTCATTAAAATTTTCATGGAAAGACACAATTTTCATAGTTAGAGCATTTACTGCGCACATCTAATCATTGCAATGTGTTCGTATTACTTTATTCATGTTTGTCAATTATTAAGAACTAAAACTTTTCGATGTGTGTCTTTAATCTCCTTGTCTAACAATATATAAGAAGAAGAAAAAAAAATCTGTATCTCTTCACAAATACACATAATTGATGCACTGTCGTTGCCAACTATGCTATATGAATGGTACGGCATGACTATTGTAATTGTGTGTTTGTTTCTTTCTTTTAATCATTTTACAGACATTTTTGGATAACACAACAATGGAATCTTTAAGCACTCATGTTCAGTTAACTAGTACTTCTCTAACTATTCTTATAATAAATTCATCATCATCATCATCACCAAATGTAACAAAAAATCAGCAATATATAAGTTTACCTGAATTCGAAGGAAAAGGTATTGACTTTTATACACTACAAATAACTAATAACTCAAAACAATTATCAACTCTATATATTGAAACAATAACATCAAAAAATTCTTCTTACTCAAAATTTACGTCAATATCTTCGTCAAGTGATAGTCATTCAATGACTATTTCATCGGCAATAAATCCAATAGCAATTTCAATCGACACCACAACTACATTACCGACTATACCCTCTCTTTCTAGTATATTATTAACAACTAATGCAACAGAAACAGTAACAGATAACAATATGATGATCAGTACGGACGTAAGTGTTCCATCAATAATGAATCACCCTTTATCGTTCTTACTTTTTTAATTCAAATCAATACGATACTCTTAATCATCCTAATATCACAAATATGATTGACGTTATTTAGCCATCGATAAATAGATATTGTTATAGTTTTGGACACCAGTACTTCTCTTCTTACTTTTTTTTCTCAGCATGTTGATTTAATCATGTTATTCTTGCTTTACACATATCTATGCATGGTTTCCTAGCTTTTGAATGTTTTTATGATCAGACGTATGTAAACTAGAGAAATCAATGAGAACTATATGTATTGAATAATAATACTTCAGTGATCTATAGGAGTATTATTTTTAAATCGTCTTCTTTACTGATTTCAGTGGACAACAACGACAACAACGACTACAACGTCAACTTCAACTTCAACTACAACGTCAACCTCCTCTACGACTACAACGTCAACCTCCACTACGACTACAACGTCAACCTCCTCTACGACTACAACGTCAACTTCGACTACAACTACAAGCGTAACTACTACCTCGACTTCAACATCAACATCTACTTCAACCACAACGACAACTACAACAACCAGCGTAACTACTACTTCGACTTCAACATCAACATCTACTTCAACCACAACGACAACTACAACAACCAGCGTAACTACTACTTCGACTTCAACATCAACATCTACTTCAACCACAACGACAACTACAACTACGACGACTACGAAGACAATTGCTGCGATTGATTCAAGTACAAATCGTACTGGCTTAATTGTTGGTCTTGTTCTTGGTTTAGTGGGATTTTTTGCATTAGTTGGTGGTTTTATCGCTGCTATTGTTGTTCTCAAAGCAAGGGCTGCAAGCAATGCTACAGTAACAAATAAACCGGTCGTTCGAACAATGGCTATGAGTCAAGCACCTCCAGATTCTCTCTTAGAATCTCGTTTACAAACAAGAAATTTACGACCTGTTCGATTGACACCACTTACTACTCAAACATCGCAATTACCTCGGCCATCTTTTGGTTCGGTAGTATCTGAAACGACTACTACACATGCTTCAATGACAAAATTGCATAGATCTGATCCACAAAGATCGTCAAGAGGTATTCCACTTCGACTTGATGCAATTAGGTATTGAGTTTCTTTGTTTCTTGAAATAATCCTACCAATATTTTATACAGGTCAGCAAGCAGTATTGTTCCACAATATGCACCAAGTTCATATACTTCTAATAAGCCTTCTAATTATGATCCTATAAATAATTTATCTAAAACTCAACGTCCTTATCTTCATCAACAAGTTCATGAACCAAGAGCCTGACAAGCATGATCAAATCCAATGCTTTATTTGGAAAGAGACACTTATTATTAATATATGAGACATAAAAAAAAAAGAGTGTAGGACAATAAACTGATGTGTCTCATTCATTGTATTGCAAGCATGAGCGCATTACTAAATTATCTTCTTTTTGTGTTTGCTTAAACTAGGGTGTGAAATGTGTTTTGTGTGTTTCTAATAAAATAAAAACCAACAGAAATAATCATTTGTAGCTTGATTACTAACTAAGCAACGCTTTTTCCGTGCATTAAGCTTAACCATAACATTACAAGCAGTAAGAAAACACGAAAAGACTATGTTCGAGCTTCGATGGATTTTGTATGAAAAAAAAGGAATATTATTTTCTTCTTTCCATATGCATAACTCAATATAATTATATTCGTGTCATTGAAATCGCTTCTCTTACAGTATGGTCATCCTACAATATATTCGGTTGATACAACTAATTGGCCACAGTTGATATTAACATGTCCAAATAGCACTAGACTTGATGAATTACCTTTTCTATCAATTAGTATATCATGGCTAAGACAATTCACTAGTTTTCTTGCTCAAGGTGAAAATAATACTCGTGAACCATTTATTTCTATTCCATCGGATATCTGTTGGATGTCACATCTAACTGTGAGAAATTTTTCTTAAGCCTTTAGATTTACATTGAGCAAATGTAATGTTTATATAGATTCTCAATTTAACTTACAATCAACTTGAAAATACACTTAACTTTTCTGATATCCTCAACTGTTCGACTCGATGGAAAACAATTCATTTAAGCAATAATTATTTGGCAACATTTCCAAGTTCTTTCTTTACATCGACTCAATTTAATTCAGTTTATTTAAATGATAATAAATTGAGTTCATTCGATTTATCTATTCTTACACTGGGTCAAAGAACAGTTGATTTAAGAAGGAATCAGATTAAATCGATTACTAATCCCACTAATTACAGTATATCATTAGACCTTCAAGCTGGCGATACAGAGGTTCAACTTGATGGTAACTCCATACTTGATTTTAATGATGGAATCTATGAAATGTATAGGTCTTGTGAGAAAGTTCGACTAGCATTGACAGATACTCTTAATCGTCCAACATCATTAACTTTTGCCTTGATAAATATTGATTTAGGTACAACAAAATTGAATTGCAGTTTTGATGAATATTATATCTTAGAAATGCTCAAAATTGCTTTCGGCTTTCCGATTACAGGCCGTATATCTACTTTATCATGCGCTAATCAACCGGTGAACTTTGTTAATTACGTCTGTTCACTAAGATACTCCACAGTCAACTTTACACAAATCTAACCTCGCTTATGCAAACTTGCTGACTGGAACGCAAAAACCACAACGACAATCATATTGACGACAGCGACAGGGTCAACAACAACATCATCGTCAAAAACAACAACAGCCACATCATCAACAACTACAACGTCGGAAACAACAACAGCCACACTCTCCTCTATGTCAACAACAGCAACATCAACCACAACTGCAACATCAGAATCAACAACTTCCTCATCTTCATCTACTTCACTAACAGGCACATCATCAACATCTATAACATTGAAAACAACAACGCCTACAACAATAGTAAGATATATAGCTGCGAATATTACAAACTCATACAACAAGACAGATTGAAAAACGCACAATCTAGATACTATGTTGTAGGTGCGATCATCTCGATAATTTTGCTTTAGTTTCAATGGAGAGTTTTATTGTGAAAAGTAGAAACAGTAAAAAATTCGCTAGAAGAAATATTTGAACAATAAGGTTGCAAACGAATTTTTGAAATTCACATGTTTTTCTCCTATTTGAAAAATCATTATTGATTTTCTTATGATTGTAGACTTCAACTTCTATGATGAATATATCAACATGCCTTTCAACTTTTTCCGTTAGTAATACAAATCTATTATTGTCATGTTCATCCAATGCAAATATGTCATTACTTCCTATCAATAATTACACTCTAACGACTTTGAACCGTGTCACATCATTAAGTGTACGAGCATATAATGGTGCACGTGGGCCTCTAGAAACTATTCCACCAAATGTTTGTTTTTTACCAAATTTACAAGTTCGTTTCTCTTTACTTCATATTTTCTTCTTTTTCTCTGTACTATCTGCTTTTTAAAGGTATTAAATATATCCTTCAATCGTCTTAATCATCTAGACTCGACATTGTTTTCAACAAATCCATCTTGTCTAGAAGCTTGACGAATACTTGATATGAGTAATAACTTATTTAGTGAATATCCATCCTTGTTTTTAACAGAAAAAAGGAATCTTCAACGAGTGTTTTTACAAAATAATCAATTAACCTCATTAAATCTTGCATCAATTGTACTTGTTTCCGTATCTATCGATTTATCTAATAATCAAATATCAAAAATAACAAATAATGCTAATATTAATATCTCAACATACAATTATTCACTTGGTGCGACTATTGATGTAACAAATAATAGTGAAATAATCGACTTAACAGATGCTATTTATGAAATGTATGGTGCTTGTTATGAAATTTAACAAATATATAATACAAATATTCCTTCAACAGTTCTCATTTTAACACTCAGTTTCTTAAACATCAATTTTGGTACATCAAAAATAAACTGTACTTGTAATCAATACTATATACAAAAAAAGTTTCTTATATTCGTTTGGTAATAGTCTTTCTTCAACGTATCCTTTATCAAAGATTCTGTGCACGGATCAAACATTATTCTTTAATAATACAAATACTGCAGCTTGTTCTATTTCATCAGTTAATTTCACAAATACCATACCACATCTTTGTAATATAAGTTCAAACAATGGTAATATAATATTAGTTAATACAACTGATAATATCACTAAAGTAAATTGAAAAAAAAACAATAATAAACAAGTGTTTTTTAGTAATAATGTCTTTGTTTTTTAAATAGATATATCGATATTATCTAACTCAAACTGTGAATAATAGTTATTGTCTGTTTACATTTTATGTTGGTGGACGGCGAGTTTCTATTGATTGTATCAATGAATCAAGTACGCTTACTGAAATTTCATCAGTAATTCTTAATAATATATATTTTCAAAATATAACACAAGTTTCAATTAATAATCAAAATTCGCTATCTCAATTACCAGTTTATTTATGTTCATTACCATCAAATTCTATCGATCTTTCGAATCAATCATTTTGGATATTAAATAGTCATACATTTCCTTGTTCATCAAATAATACCGTTCAAAATATCAATCTTGCCTATAATCAAATTAATACTGTCACTTTGACATTATCCAATTGGATATTGATTGATCTTACATCAAATAATCTACCACAATTACCATATACTATCTTACGTTCAAATCAAAATGCAATCTCAAGTAGATAATTATCAAGACAGACTCTTCTTTTACCATCAAATCGAATAAGTCAATTCGATTTATTTGCATATACGTATGCAGATACAACTATTAATTTAGAAAATAATCCATTTTCAAAAACGATTAATGGTTATCATATTATTAATAATTATGAGAAAAAGTCTTTACTTAATGGACCAGTTTCAACAAATATTATTCGATCAAATCAAATGCGTTTTCTTCTTAATGATCAAATAGCGTAAAATTATAATGCATGTAAAAGTAAATCATTAAATTACCTTATTGATATATTTGAACGTATAAAACATAGTAATAGTTCAGTAGAAATTGAATGTCAATGTTCTTCAATATATATCAAAGAATATTTTCGTTTGTTTAATTCATCAGAAAAAATTACAAATCGATTTTCATGTAGTAATATATCAAGTTTAACAGTAACGCAATTTGAAGCTTTTAACTGAAACGGATTGTTTATCAAATATATCATTATCATCAAGTAGACTTTGTCAATTTGCAAGATTAGCAGTAATTTATATAAAATAGCTTTACTAAAAAAAACAAAATAACTTTTTTTAAATTTTTTTGTAGAATTCTTCTCCTTCTAATGATCTTAATGCAAAGGATAACGGTCGAGTTTTAGCTATAGTTCTTGGTTCTTTAGGTTTCCTATTATTACTTGCACTTATTATTGCTGGTATTTGTTATGCACGTAAATCATCTGTAAAAAAATGCTCGAGTATCACAGTTATCAAAAGTTCGAGATACGGCTGATACTCGTCTTGAAGAACGTGTACAAACAAGAAATATTCGTCAACCATATAATTTATCGTCAATTGATAATAGAACTACATCTCAATTAGCAAATATTCATGATACAAGAGATTATTCACGAATGCAAACATCACATAGACCAGCAACTCGAAATAGATCATCATATTATGTCGCGTAAGAGAAAGAAAAGATTTTTTGATGAATTATTATTATTTGATAAATTTAAAATATTGTTAGTTCAATCGATTTATGTCAAGTGGGCGATAATCGTCGAAAACGACGACCAAAAGAACCTCCAATTGATTATGATATAACTTAACCTGTTTACCATAGTAAATATCCAGAATGAACATGATTAAATATTTAAAACGGACATTTCTTAATTAATTTTCTTTTTCTTTTATTGATATTTCATTTTTCAAATTATAAATTATATTCTAGATTTAAAGTTTTCTCATAGAAATAAATTTTCGACAGTGTTTATATAAAAAAATACCAACTTTTTGGATACAAAACTATCACCTCTAGATATAAACTATCTCACATATGGTACATAATCAATAAATCACTGACTATATGAATCTATTTTAGCATAGATCAAAGTCGGTCACAATGTCATTTATTATTTATATGCATAAATTTTTTACAAATCTATTTAATATGAATTCTCAATGGATTAGTTTTGTATTACATAGAATAGATTAATGTATCATTTTATCTAGAGGTGTCCTGAAGTCGTCAGGATTGAAGTGACTGACCGAAAGATTTTTGCTAAAGTCGATCGAATTTTGAGGCAGGAGATGTTGAGCGTCTTTTAAGAATTGACGAAAGGGAAAATAACAATAAAACTTTGAAAGTTCGTTAGAAGAAAACGAAAATTTTTTAAAACCTTGAGGCAGAGTAGTCTTCCTTCATCACTCGGTACATCCTTGGTTTTTATTATAAATTCAGACCTTTGTAGTTTTTTTTATTCATAATGACTAGGTGTGCTAGAGTTTGAACAGTATATTGATAAAAATAAAAGCCCATTTGCTTAATTATAAAAGAAAGCAAATATTTAAATACTGATATGAGAAGAAAAAGAAAAGCTTTTAGCTAACATTTAATTTGTAAGTGAGAAAAATTCTTTGAACAAGAGATCATCACATTTCATCCTCATAGGTAGACTTATTGTCGTGAAATAAATCATAATTATTTTTATACATCAATGAAGAATATGATAAATGATGACAATAACAAAAAAACTTGGTCAACGAATCAATATTTTGATCGTATCTATATATTTTTGTTTAAAAAGACATATATACTCTTTCTTCGAATACTTCTGTATTTGTTCTTTTACTATTTTTCTCGTCCTCTTTTCTTTTTTTCTTTTTTGCTTCGATTCTTTTTCTTCTATTCTCATCTCGTCGTTTTTCTCATCACCCTCCATCATGTCACCTCTTCATCAAGCCTTATTCTATTCATCAAATGCATCATGCGTATATTTACCATCAGGTTTTTTTTTCTATCCAACGCTGTTCTTTGTATGCGTCTTGATTATAATAATTTTTTCTTTTTCGTTCACTCACATCCTTTTGACACGGTAGGGTTTTGTTTTTATGTTCTTTCTGTTTTCTTCTATGTATGCATTCAATCTTTATGTCTAGCCCGGGTTTTTTCTTTCTTTTACTGTTGGATCAATTAGTAAAGAATTTGAATGAACATTATGTAAGAGTATGTAATCTGATGTTTCAATCAACTGTTGTTATTTTAAATAAGAAGCTGCTATTACCCTTTTCTTTTTTTTCACTGCGAAGATAAGAAGACATTTTGAATATATGTTAGCTTTTGTCGATATGAATCGACTACTACTACGCATGTGTCAGTGAATGTCTGTATCATAAAAATACGTTGATAGAGAAGCGAACAGAAAAAAAAAATAAATGTGAGTAAGAATATTATTTTGCTGGTAATGTTCGCATATATTGTCGATAATAAAAAGAAACGCCGAGAATATCTAACTGAGAATTTTTTTCTATTTATTTTAAGTTGTTTTCTCTATTTATTGGCATTCGCTTTTCTATTTAACAAAAGTCATGCATTGAGTTTTTAACAATATATTATTTCTTTTATAGTATAGTTTATCATGATCGATAATACAACCACTCTTACACCAACTACATCGGTTACTACTTTTTTGAATAATACAAGTTTTACAATAACAACAGCAGCCTTAACATCAATTATTTCAGCAAATAAAAGTACATTTTATGAAAATTGTTTACAAAAATATTCTGCACCAACATGTAGATTAGCTGAATTTATTCGTGTATTAGCTTATCTTCTTTTGGGTGTATCGTTTCTTCCACAAATAATTCACTTGTTTAATCATGGTTCAAGATATATCTCTGGTATCAGTTATATGTGGATAATAATACGTGTACTTGGTTTAGCTTCATTAATGGTTGCACATGCATTCAATTGGTCATTTATATTTGAATTAGTTGCTATGGTTTCAACAATAGCTATATTTATACAAATTTTTATGTATGCCGATAATCTTCATAGACAACAAAAAATTATATTACTAGCTAGTAGTTTACTTACATGGATTATTGGTGGTGGTATTATATTATTATTAAGAAAATATGAAGATTTTTTAATTATGACTGGTTATTTATTACTTTCAGTGCATATGTTACCTCAAGTATGATGAAGATTAATTTTCTTCTTAAATTCTTTTTGTAAACTTTATCTCTTTATAGATTTTACTTAATTCATTACTACGAACAGCAAAAGCTTTATCAAAATTTTCAATATTATTTTTGGCAATGAGTGATACACTTTTATTTGCTAGTTTTTACACAGCTCATGAACGCTATTTTTATTTAGTTACATCTTATTATGGTTTTTCATTTTTCTTGTTTATTTATCTTCAAAGTATAGTTTATGCCGATTCGCATATTCATTTAATATCTCGTTCGGCACATACTGTTCTTACACCAGGTGTTGATATATTTACTGGACTTGATGCTAATGGTGCACGTAGTTCAGGACAAGATCCACAAATGTTTTCAATTGATGATTTAGAACCAGCTGATGGCACGGATGTTGTTTATCAACCAGTTACATCAAACAAACCATCACAACCGATTGCTGAACAAACTCCGATGAAGCGTGTTGTTTGGTATGCAACATTAGGATCAATTGCTGGTATTGAAGTAGTTTTAACAATAATGTTGGTTATGAGAGCTTGGTCTCCATGGATTATATTTGTACCTATTTCTATTCCTGCTTTAGTCGGTGTATTCTTTTTATTACGTACAAAATTAAATGTTCTACAAATAGAACATTTGAGAAAAATTCTGTAATTTGTTATCTTATGTATGAATTATATTTCTTTTTCTTTCTGCTTTCAATTGTTCGCTTTTTTTTTCTTTTCTTTTACATACACCTAATATAGAATGTGATAACTGTCTACTGTGCATATGTTATGAATGGCTCATCAATTGATTTCTAACAAATTGAAATATGTATACAATAATTAAATAGATTGTTGTGTTTTTGACATGTGTCACGTATAAGTTTTTTCCAGAAAAAACGTATTTAATTCAATATTGATAATATATCGCAGTTAGTTATTTTTCTTGTCATCGAGGAATTACATTCGTTCTTATCATAAAATAATTTACTAGTCTATTAAATAAATATATTGTTGTAAGTCGCTAGAAAAAAAAACGCAAAGTTTGTCTGTCTTATCATATGGAACGTATTTTTTATGTCATCAGAGAATTTTAAAATATTAATTAATGTCCGGAAAAAGAAAGAAAGTAGTCCAAATAACTGGAAAAGTTATTCTCCCTAGATGAATATTTTTATAATTAATACAAAAAATTCAATTCAATTGTCAAGCAAACATTATAAGTAGACAAGTTTCTATGTTCTTGTTACATGAAATATCCTTTAGCAGTAATTAGAATTATGTTATCAGTACAAATTCAATAATAAGAAAAAAAAACATCAAGATAATTAAATTAAAACACTCTTAAGACACATCATATTAAATAGAATAATAAATTGCTCATTACAAAAAAACATAAAACCAATCATGGTCAATTCGAACAGAAGTTCTAACACCTTTCTGAACTATTTTTATTTAACTCAACAATATTGATATTGATATACATACAGAAAAATAAAAGCAAAAGGAATAATTATGGAATTTTAAATGATACAAGAAATGATCTGACGAACAACAAAAAGAAAAAAGACGATTAGTTTCTATTTAATTATGACTGTCATTTTATTTTATTTAGGTACTGCATTATTTGATACAGTCAATCGTACACAATGATCATATTCATCAAGTTTTGCACGCCAACCACGATCAAGCCAAAATTTTGTGTTAAATCTTGCACATGCTATATGTGGTGTTGATAACATAATTAATTGTCCAGGTGTATTAACAGATAAAAATGGCTTAGTTAATGCAATTGTTAAATCAAGTTGATCTAATTGTAATAAAGATGTTTGAAATAAATTTTCCCATTTTTCAACATCCATATATTCATAATGATTAAGTAATAACCACAATGCACGTAATTGCTTTAATTCATGAAGTAATAATAATAAATAATCGAAACGTATTGATTCAATAACTAATTTAAGAGAATTTAAGCGTAGAGAACATTTTTGATTAAGACTTCCACGTAGTGTTTGTGTCCAAGTATCAACTAAGAATGAAGGTAAAAAATATTTTTTTTCTTCTTTTTAATGTGTGCGTTGTTCAAAGTTTCAACAAAATTCTTTTTCACATGCATGTAAAGAGCATATAGACTTTTCTAGAAGAATTTAGTTTGTGAGTTTTCTACAAGTGGAAATTAAAAAAATATATTGACGAAACATAGGATTTAAAATATCATTAAAATGGTTTTTATTTATGCGTGAATGTTTTTATTAATTTATTCTATAGAAGATTTTTAAAAATTATTATCTAATTCTCGATGCAGAATTGATCAGGAAAAAGTAAACTTTAAGATTTATTTTTTCTAATGAATTTTGCATGAAGAATCAGGAGACCAACTTTAAAATACCGTCTATAAAAAGAATACGAAAAAAAAAAACATTTATACTTATATGAAAGTTATTTTAACGAAATTTGAGATTGTAAAATTTCGCAAAGTTTTTTTTTCTACTTAAGTCAATATACTTTTTTCATCCACATGAAAAAATGATTTTGTAGACATTCTGAATTATGCATATCTTACCATAATTTAATCCACATATTGTTGCTTTAAGTGTAGATAAATATGGTGAATATTGAAGTAAATGTGTTAG